GCATTTGAGCTCACGATTCCAACCATATAAATTATGTAACCTAACTATCAAAGATCAAAGAGAATTTTGGAATCCCTGAATCTTGACCTAATTTTTTCAGAGATTTCACGCTTCAAATTCTCTTAGCACAAGTAATATAAATGCAAAGTAAGGATATGTACAGCTTCGTTATGATGAGAACTACATTTTTCCTTCACAAATCGGGGCTTGAGGTTGCTTGTATAAGAGTTTAATAAAATACCTTCTTCATATGGAATCATGTAAGGCAATGTAGGGACTTTAATGGAGGCCTGATGATTGTTTGAGCTTCCTTGAGCTTCTTTGAACCTATTCCAATCCTTATCTTGCTCTGAAGATGGCTGGAACTTCCTGACCAAGTCCAACTGCAAGCTTCCAAGTTAACAATGGCAAATGGTGAAACTGATGTTACAGAACCAGGGTGATGGTTTGGATTGACTAGGTATGGAGTATGTAAGATGTTTTGATCAATTAAACACAAAACGCACGAGCCAAATGAGAGTTGGCTGAGTTTTTGCAGAAACTGTATGCTTGGGCAGATTTTTGGTGTTTTTCAATTTGAGAGAGTTCTAGGTTCAAGCCAAGCGTGCAATCTATTGTACATTGTTTGCATATTAGTATAGAAGTGATCCAAAGTCAGCTCTCTACTAGCTGTGCAAGCCTTAGCCCTTTTTGCAACTTTTCTTGTACTTGAAGCAAAGTTGACAAGACCAAACCCACATGCTTGTACCAGCTTGCTTTAGGGTTGATATAAGTTTTTACTAGTTGCTTGAGACCTGTGTGGTTTTCTTGTATCAAGGGGACAGGTTCAAAGCTCCAAGTTGACAAAATTGCAAAAGTGCATCTTTATGAAAATGGCAATGAAGCCTTTTTGCCCAAAATGGAAATACAACTTGTGTAAAAGTTCAAAAGCAAGGATAATGGCTTTATCAACTGAGTATTAATTTAATTAAGGAGTGTGTAGCAATTTTAGGACCTGTAAAGCAAGAAATATCCAGCATAGGTTTGGTTTGCACCTTGATTCTTCATGGAAATGACTTGAACAAAAAGTGAGAAAATGCCAACTTCCTCTCTTTGATTCTCCCTACTCAAAAATGATCTTGGAGAGTTCTTCGACATTTTGGAAAGCTTGCAATGTTCTCTATAATCCATATTTGAAATGCATTATGAGATACCTCTTGTAACTAGGTGAAACATTGCCATGAAATTGGGTCCAAAAGCTGCCTAAATTAGGGCAAAATTTGACTAAGTTAAGAAGTTCATGGCCATGTATTCACACATTCATAACTTGAGATACAAGCATCTTTAGGGAAAAGTTTGTGAATCAAAGTTGTATATTTCATGGAGATCTACAACCTTCATGTTTTGGACTTTCCTTGAATCAAAATGCATCATGGTGAAAAAGTGGTGCAAAGTTGAGAAAAAATAAGAAAATTTTTATACTTAGAAAAATTCTAAGTTATGAAAATTTTCAAATTCAAAACCCTAATTTTCAAATTTGGTTTTCTTGGTGAACAAGTTTCCCATTTTTACATATCTTGATGAATTATTACCCTTGGCACTTGATTTTGACCAAAAAGTCAAAGTTTGACTTTTTAGTGTACAGTTGACTTTTGATCAGTTGACTGCATATTTTATATGTCAATCCAATGAACTTGAGATATTTTGAACCATGTAATTAAGTCAAGATGATGCCATTGAATCTTTGAAGTCATGCTTGAACTCAATTGGTCAATGGCTAGGTTAAAAATCAGAAATTGTCCTTCCTTAGTTAAAACCCTAATTTTGACCATTTTGCCCTTTTAATGATTTAATCAAATTTCTTTAGGAGTTGTAATCCAAACTTGATAAAATGGCATATATGAGTCTAAAATGTTGATGTGGGTCAAAAATTATGGAGTTTGACTGTAAATTGGTCATGGTTGACTTTTTCCCCAATACAGTTGATTTTTAGGTCAACTGTCCAATTGACTGATCAAAAAAGTGGTTCAAGGCTTGAAACTTGTCATGAGCAATCTTAGGGGTCCAAAATGATGTATGAAAGTAAAATGAAGCATTGATAGTCCAAAAATCCCTATGCAAACTCAAACCCTAATTTTGGGTTATCAGTGCAAGATGAGATATCTTGAGTTGACCAAGCCCTAATCTTGTCTTGAGTCAAAGAAGTCTTGTGAGAAAAGTCTTGATAAATGAGAGGGAAAATTTTGGGGTACAACAGCTGCCCCTGTTCAATCTTCTTGAACCTGAAGAGTTAGATCGGCGAGTTTTGTCGTTCGTGACTCGAAGGTAAAAGATGATTGGACACCAGAGTGCCCATAAATTTACGCTCGATGATGTGTAGTTGAGGGAATGGGCTTAAAGATGCCATTTGGAGAAGTGATAGAATCTTGTTGGAGATGGGCTTGTAGATTCCATCTAAGAATGTTTGTTGAATTGTACGTTGTAAGTCAGAAGAATAAGTATCAGAATGGTGTCCGTATCTGGAACGTATCTGAGCTGTATCTGGAGACTGAATCTGTATGAGCGACAGAATAGCATCCGTGTCTAGAGCGTATTTGAGCTGTATCTGAACTTGAATCTGAATAAGTGTCAGAATGGCATTCGTGTTTGGAGCGTATCTGAACTGTATCTGAAAGGTGAATCTGAGTGAGCAACAGAATGGCTTCCGTGTCTAGAGCATACACTACAAGAAAAATGATAGATTGGGACGGTTATTTTGGCTGATTACGACGGTTAAAACCGTCGCAATTTACAATCTACGACGGTAGAAGTACCGTCGCAGAATCGTGCGTCCCCAGCCTATTTCGCGACGGTTGCAAAAACTGTCACGCACAACAGATAGCGACGGTTATATACCGTCGTGAATTTGACTTTATTTTTTGTTTTTGTTGTTGTTTGCGACGGTTATTCTACCGCCGTAGGTTAGAAATTGCGGCGGTTTTAACCGTCGTAATCTGATTTATAAATTTCAAATAATATTTTTATTTAAATTATTATTTAGTAAAATAATTTTAAATATAATATTATTTTATTATTATATTTAAATTATTATTTACTTTAATATTTTTTTATTTATAGTATTTTTATTTTATTTTCTATCACTTTTCAACATAATAAAGTTAATTACAATAAAAACATTTAATATCAAATAATCATCAATAATATCAAAAAAAATGTGATCAAAGGTAAAAAGAAGTGCAAATTTTACCAATAAACAAGAAAAATTCAAATATCATCAAAGGCCAAATTTCATTTTAATATTTACATTGGTTTGCTACAACTTGAGAGAATTACAAAAAATGTTACAATATTCTACAAAATTCATGAAAGTCCTTAGTGTTAAGTGATTTTGTGTTAAACTTCCATGCTAGGACCGTGATCCTTCCTTGACTACCATTTGGAAGCAATAACTTCACTCCTAGACAGTGTGTTTGATGAATGGTTGTTAGGTAACTCATTTATTTTAGAACCACAAACAGGCCCTGAATTTCCTCGGCTTCCTGTTGTCTGCGAAAGCACATAACATCATATATAGAAGCAAAATCATGGCTTCCTCAATTCACATAACCAGATTTTAACAGCTTTACCTTTACCAACAAAGCATCCATCTTCCTTTTATCAATCCTGAGTGGACTTTTCATCTCCATCAACATCTTCTGACCCAATGCTTTAATTGATGATTCCCCTTTTTCACTTCTATGCTTTCCAACCCCACAAACCACAATAATTTCAGCAATAATCTCAAAGTTGGAAGCATTCAACAGTAGATTCCAGCTTATTTGACAGATTTTGTAATTTTGTACTTCTAACTTTGTTTTTCTATTCTAGGTTTAGCGCTTGCTATTCCCTAGAGCCTTCAACTGCGTGAATTGCCCCTAACTTTTTGTGATGAATTAGAAGCTCAGCACAAAGAATAGCTTAAATAGTTTAGAGCCTCATGTCATGTCAGTCATATATATTCATGACCAGAAAATGCACCGGGACCCATTTAGAAGGCATCATTTAGCTGTAAATAACAAAGCATTATTTAGGTTCAAACAAAATTGAGTCATTTGTTTTCTCCGAAAAGAGAACAAGCAATTTATGAACCACAAAACTAGTTTACAAGTTACAAGGTATGCACGAATACTAGAAACACCTTCAAACACTACCCCTCAGCACTTTGCTTACCCATAAAACTCCACTATTTGTCACTGCATCAGAACCACAATGAAGTTGAAACTAAGTTCTAAAATCGACACTGACTACTCACATGGTACAAATACTGTATAGCCTGTAAATCTACTTTGAGCTTCCAACTCACAAGAAATAATAGACTTTGGGGGAGGGAATGGTAACCGGGTCAGGAGTGCTTACAAAATTGAAAAGATTTACACTGCTCTGACTGGTTGAAAAAAATAAAAGCAAATTGATGCACCTGCAAATGGAAGCATTTAAAAAGCATTAACGAATTGGACACATTAGAATAGAATAGAACATGTTACAAAACCTTCAAGTGAAACAACACACTAGAACAAAGCAGAGCAAGAGAAAGAAAAATCAATATTTATCCCATACATAGAACGATCATTGTAGCACCGACACTTGTGAGCAAATGTGTGTCTGGGTCCGACACTCACGCATGTGATTACGTTCAATTTATTTATGTTTTTTAATTATCACTAGTGTCAACATGTCAGTATCGATATCATGTCAGGTATCCGTATTTGTGCTTCATAGAGAACGGCAACCAGCTTTATCAGATTTAATTCCATTTCTCAATTGCATATCTTAGAATTTAGGTTTGGTGTAACTCAATCTTACAAAACCAGCTTAAGATGAAAATTACCCCACTTATAAACATAACCTATTAAAATAATATCTAGAAAGGAACTTCTAGGAGAGACAAAGTTGTTGAAGTAAACCACTGAAGCATACCGTTTTGGAAGCTGGAAGCAGAAGGAGCAACTTATAAGGTGCTCTAAAAGGAGGAACTGATTGATTTAACTATCACCAAAAGAAATAATCTGCCCAAGTGCAACTCGTGCTCGAAGCTGCATCAACAAAAGAAAATTTACAAATTGACCAAGAGAAAGTATTAAAAAGACAACAACTTGATATAAAGATTAAAGGACCTTAACATCCATGCAAGGGTCACTGGCCATCCTCTTGATTTGAGCAACAAGGCCAAAATTGCGCAGTTTTGCAATCCGGCCAAATGCACCGGGGCTTGCAGGAGCAGTGAGATTTACTATGATCCAAGCAGCAGATGTGCGTAGACGGCTGTCATTACTCTGCAAATACTGACTCAAGAATGACTGAGGTCCACTTTCTGCTTGTGGAAAGATCATCTGCATTATGGCTTCTTTATGAAACTCGTTTCCACTTGCAATATTGCTGACTGCGTACATCCCCTAAACAGGAAAAAAAAACCCTTAAAGAGTGGCTAATGCTTAAACTAAAACTGATACGGAAAATAACTTTAGGCCCATCTAGTCTTGGGAAAGAAGACATGCTTAATGCTTCTCACGTGTTCTACAAAATAAAGAGAAATCTTTCTGTTGAAATCTAACTTCAAGTTATTTAGTATCAGTACTCCTAACTTGTAACCCTGCTTATCATCTCACACACATCTCCTGTCACTTCTCATCCTTCAATATGATTGTTGTGATAACCATGGTAGTTAAAATCCCAATTTGAATTATAAAATCCCACGATTTTGCAATTATGCTTTCCCTCAGCGATTATGAGTATACGCATAATCCTATTTTAGTGGAATCAAGAAGAATCCTCTATTTTAACTGTTGAATTGTATAATCTTACGATCTTTGAAACGATTATGCTAATGAATGACTGAATTTAAATTTATATGAATATTTGAAGTGTGATTTAAGGTTTTACATAACTTGTGAGCTATGTTTATGAATTTAAATTTACACAAGTATCTCAAGTGATTTAAGGTTTTCCTTGTCGTAATAATCATGGTTGTCAAGATCTCGATCTTAGTTATGATCTTATGTTTTAAGATCTTGCTACCCTCTCCCAATCTTAGTAATAATGCTATATGCATAAACATGAGTTTTAGAATTTTGTATAATCTTGCAATTAATGTTACGATTCCATGATTTACGATTTTACTTCCTCTTTCAAATTTTGCGTAAAATCTCGAATTAACTACTTCGGTGTGAACCCAATCATAAGAAAGGATAACTACAGTTTTTCTTTTTTTCACCTGTCACTTTTGCAGCAAAGAACACGGTTGTATATGAAATTGGGAGGGGGATTACAAAATCAACTATTAGTAACAAATACATGAGATTAGCTAGTAGTGTCCAAGAAACAACAAACCTGCAATGACATAAACCTCGACCTGCAGCATTCCAATTTTGAGCAAAGATCGCCCAGTGCTAGAAATATCCCTTCAAGACGCTTGGAATTTAATTCAGGATTTTGCAAGTGATTGTAGAATTTGTCTATAGCATTCGCCTCAAATGCTAACTTCTACAAATCTTCCTTTCCAGCAACTAAACTCGAAAAAGCAAAGGAAGCCTCTTCTCCAACTTGACCAGAATCATCAAGGAGCTCAAGCAAAATATATATCAATTTGGTTTTGATCGCTATATCTTGCAGAAAGCACGATGAAGAATTCTTTATACAGATCAGGCACAAGCATGCCAGTAACATTGTCCGGGAGAATCGATCCCTGGTTAATTCAATTACAGAACGCAGCGCTCTTCCATTTTGAAGCTCCACAAACTTCGAGACAGCACCTGGATTATTTTTAAGAATTGTAGCTATGGACTCTAAACTAGCATCTCGCTGACTCATCGAACCATCAAGACCACCAACAAGTTTCTCTAAAGAACCAGCAATAGCATGAGCACCAGAAGGAAAAGAAGGCAAATGGAATCAATTCCAATTCATTGATAGTCATACTGCAAAACCAATTCCAATACTGTAATAACTAATAAATATAAAACTTGTAAATCTCAAATACTTGTTACTCACTAATAACTTACCATACAGACAATGCATCAACAGCAACTGTTGCATTTTCCAACTGACCTGTCATAAGCAGCAGTATCCTGTAATACCAATTCTCTGATGGCGCTCTCTGATGGAGCTTTCTTTAAATCAACTCATTATATTATTTGTTAACACAATTGACATTGTTCACATATCCTCCACACTATTTTTTTAATTCACGTTTTGCTTCTAGTGTCCCAACCATCAATCACATACACCTATTCTCATTCACCAATTTCTTAACAATTTTCCACTTTTTACACTACAACTAACACTCTCACACTAAATCTTGTACATAGTATACACATCCCTTTCACATTTATATCACTACAAATATCTATCGATTACACAATTTATTCAACATACAATTTAACAAAATCCAACAATAAGTCATTCTTTATTTCTGATAAATCAAGTGGTATTTGATAAAATCATTCTACCTATCATCCACCATTTTTTATCATAACAAATCACAACAATAACAGCCCATAAAACCAAACATAAACTCTATTTTCACCATAAGCCAAACTTGTCAAAACAAATCACCATTAATTCATACAACCTGTCAAAAACCATAATACAATATCATAACACATAAATATAATCCAAGTTTCTATATGCAAAAGAAAGGATATTGAAGTAGAAACCAAAAGCTTGTTCGCCAGAATGATACCTCGAGACCGACACATACAGCTTCGAATCCACGCCATACATAATGTCACCACCGACCAGCCACCGTGCATAACTGGTCACTGTCACCAACCACAATGGTGCCCTTGTTGGGTCATAGCCACATCTCCGCAAACATAGAGACCCTCTCTGCATCAGCCACCTCCGTATGACCCACACAACCACAACGCACACTGTCTCTCTCCACATAGCATACACAGCCGATGTGAGGTCCCTCTGCTGCTCAACAATCCGCCATCATCCTCTCAACTACCACCGGCCGCCGCTATTGCTTCGGCCATAAACTCCGATCGTCACACACACCAAAGCCGCCGGCCAAATTATCCATCGACACAAGTTGGAATCGTGTTGGTAAACCTCATGTGTTCTGTCTTTTTTTGTTGTTGCAGGATTGTCATGAACTGAAGAGGAAATTGGAGTTTTTTAGTTCCAGTTTTGAGAAATGTAGAAGAAAGAAAGAGGAATCATAGAGAGAGGAAGTAATGCTAAGAGGTTAGCCTTTCACATTTTATTGCATATTTAATCTAATTATCAAATCAAACCCTAAAACAACAAATTAGAAAACCTAAAAAATCATAAAAAGAATTTTTAAAGGTTTTGGGTGCGACGGTTGTTTTACCGTCGTGAAATAAATTTTAGGACGGATAATTTTACCGTCGTGAAAGGTTTAAGGGTGCGACGGGTGCTTTACCGTCGTGATATGCCTTTTAGGACGGTTAATTTTACCGTCGTGACTAGTTGTTGGTGAAAAATCAATGTTAAAAGTGTTAAATGGGGGCCGACGGTTGTTTTACCGTCGTAATAATAATATTATGATGGTTAAATATATCGTCGCAAAATAAATATTAGGGACGGTTGGTGTCAACCGTCGTAAAAACTGTCTCTATATGTCAATTACGCCAGTTATCACATAACTGTCGCAATTTTTGTGTCGTTAAACACTAATTTTCTTGTAGTGATATTTAGACTGCATCATGAACCTGAGTCTGAATAAGTGTCAGAATGGCATCCGTGACTGGAGCGTGTCGGAACTGTATCTGAATGTTGAAGTCTGAATAAGTAACAGAATGGCGTCTGTGTCTGGAGCGTATCTGTACTGTATCTGAAAGCTGAATTTGAATGAGTAACAGAATGACTTCCGTGTCTGGAGTGTATCTGAATTGTATCATGATTGCATGTTGTTAATGGTAACTCGTTAATCTTATCCTGAAAAGGTTAAAATGTTAGCTGAAACACAAAGTTATGTTGCATGAAATATATGATGCAATATATGTGTTTTATCAATGTTTATGATATGTGGATGTAATGCATATGCATGTAAGTTGATTCGCTGTATTGAGGAGGAAAATAAATCCTTGACTGTTGCTGAGGATATGTGGATTCTTCATGTCTTGAAGTTGGAGTAATTGACAAAAATCCTGTTGTGAGCAATGCCATATACTGCTTGAGGAATCCAAAGAATTTTGATGACTTCTACTAGGGAATTATCTTAGGAATCCTCGTTCTGTTGGGAACAATGAAAACTCTATGGGAAAAGGCTTATTCCTATTTGGAAAAAGTTCAAGAGTTTTGGTCACCTGCCACTCTACTGGGGAATTATCCTAGGTTAGGGAGAAACAGAAGTTAGCCGTTATCGGGTTGATTTTCAGGCTTCAAGACAACCTGCTGGGGAACTTGGAGAAAATGGATGGTTTCCATTGGGGATTAGTTTGAAGTTTCAGCTCCGCTGGGGATCTTAATGACGTACTGTAGGGATTGTTCACGGAATAGCTTGAAAGACGTTTTCATATTCTTTCAACCTGTCAGTAATTGTTCTTTTCCATTTTGCTTATTTGTAAACAGTAATTATGTTCAAATGCATATGTTCATTAATGAATCATTGGACGTTTTTGCAAATAAAACACAAGTGTAAAAGAAAAGGACAAATAGTTTTCTGTACTTTAAAGAGATATCTTTGTATTTACTTTGAATAAGTATTTTGTACAAAGGAGACAGACATCCTAGTAAGAGGATGGTGTCATAAAAATAAGAAAAATTTATACACAGAAAGATAGCTATATGTGATAATCCCATGGGGTTCCCATTCTGCTATAGCCTCCGTATCTCTGAATATCTTGTATATTCATTGCTTCGTTCGAAGATGATTGAATCGATCAGAACTCCGAGTTTGTCAGTGAAGAGGTTGGAGTTGTCCTCAAAGTGATTCGACGAGACATAGTCATACGCTTTAATTCCCTAACTTTTGCTTGGACCTCCCTTTCGGGTTTTTAATCCACCGGGAAACCCTTTTTTGCCCAAGTCTCCCTTTCAGGTTTTCAACTTGCCGGGTGTATAGATTTTTTATTTTATCCCTAATTTTTCCCGAACCTTTTGGTTCGCCGGGATGCCCTTGTTTTGCCTAGGTGTGTCAACCTAGCGGGTCTCTTATGCGTAGTATCTTTTGACTATGTCTGCATTCGCAGGGTGTGGCAGGTCGTCGTCGTCCATGGTGGTTAAGATCATTGCCCCACCGGAAAAGATGTTCTTGATTACAAATGGTCCTTCATAGGTAGGAGTCCATTTGCCTCTGGGATCACTTTATGGCAAGATGATGCGCTTGATCACTAGATCTCCAACTTGATATTCTTGGCATCTGACTTTCTTGTTGAAGGCCTTGATCATCCGCTTTTGATACATCTGACCATGGAAAACAGTAGTAAGCCTCTTTTCATCAATTAAGTTCAGTTGATCAAGTCGGGTCTGGATCCAATCGTCCTCACTCAAACCTACATCTTTCATGATTCTCAAAGAGGGGATCTGAACCTCAATAGATAAAACAGCCTCCATGCCATAAACCAAAGAATAGGGTGTTGCCTTGGTTGATGTGTGAGTCGTGGTACGGTATCTATGGAGAGCAAACGGTACCATCTCGTGCCAGTTCTTGTAGGTGACTGTCATATTTTGTATGATCTTTTTAATGTTTTAATTCGCAGCTTCGACGGCACCATTCATCTTTGGCCGATAGGGGGATGAATTGTGATGTTGAATCTTGAACTGCTCGCACAAGGCGGTGATCATAGTATTGTTAAGGTTCGTATCGTTATCAGTAATGATCCTTTCTGGGATACCGTACCGGCAAATAAGATTCTGCTTGATGAAGCGGGCAACAACATTCTTAGTAACGGATGCGAAGGAAGTTGCTTCGACCCACTTGGTGAAATAGTCAATGGCCACTAGAATGAAACGGTGTCCATTGGAGGTTGTCGGCTTGATCTCCCCAATCATATCGATTCCCCACATAGCGAATGGCCAAGGAGTTGTTAATACATTTAGAGGAACCGGAGGCACGTGCACCTTGTCTGCATAGATTTGACACTTATGACAGGTCCGGGAGTGTTGATAGTAGTCTGCTTCCATGGTAGACCAATAATAGCCTGCCTGTAGGATTTTCTTCGCCATCGTATGCCCACTAGAGTGAGTGCCAAAGGTACCTTCATGCAATTCAGCCATAATCTTTTCAGCTTCAATCTTATCCACACAACGGAGCAGAATAGAATCATGATTACGTTTGTACAGGATGCCATTACTTAGGAAGAACTTAGCGGAGAATCTCCTTAGGAACTTTTTATCATTGATTGAAGCTCCTTCTGGATATTATTGAGCCTCGAGATACCTTTTGACTTCATGAAACCAAGGTTGGTCCACTACTTCTTCAGTATTAATCTCGTGACAGTGTGCTGGTTCGTCCATTCGCTCAATGGTGATCTGGGGAGCCTCGTTATCCTAATTAAGTTTAAACATAGATGACATTGTGGCTAGAGCATCTGCTAGCTGATTTTCTTCTTGCGGTAAATGCTCGAAGGTAATCTGCTCAAAATGTGGTAGCAATGTAAAAACATGTTCTTTGTAAGAGATAAGGTTTGGGTGCTTAGTATCCCATTCTCCTTTGATATGACTGATGACCAAAGCTGAATCTCCGAACACATCTAAATATTTGAATCCCAAGTCTATGGCAGCCTTGAGACTAAAGATGCATGCTTCGTATTCCGCCATTTGTTCGTACAGTTGAAGCAAAGTCTGGCAGTAAAGGGAGTATGACACCCTTCCAGGGATATGAGTACAGCAATGATACCATTACCAAGTGCATTGGATGCCCCATCAAAGAACAGGGTCCATCGGGATCCTTGTCCAGGTCCGTCATATGGTCTGATTTCTTCACAGTTGTCTAATGTGATGATGTCTTCATCCGGGAATTCAAACTTCATGGACTGATAATCCTCTACATCTTGATGGGCCAGATGATCAGCTAGCACACTGCCCTTTATAGCTTTTGGGTCGTGTATTGTATGTCATATTCTGTTAGGATCATCTGTCATCTAGCTATCCTCCCAGACAGAGCAGGCTTCTCAAAGATGTACTTTATCGGATCCATCTTAGATATCAGCAAAGTGGTATGATTCAACATATACTGTCTTAGCCGGCGAGCAGCCGATATCAAAGCGCAGCAAGTTTTCTCGAGCAGTAAATATCTGGTTTCACAGTCGGTAAACTTTTTGCTCAGGTAGTAAATAGCGTGCTCTTTTCGGCCAGACTCGTCATGCTGCCCCAATACACACCCCATTGAGTTCTCTAAAACGGTCGGATACATGATCAGTGGTCTTCCCTCGACTTGTGGAATCAAGACAGGAGGCTCTTGTAAATACTCTCTGATTTTGTCAAAAGCAATCTGACACTCATCATTCCATCTGACTACTTGATCTTTTTTCAACAGCTTGTTAGGTGAGAAATGAATCTGGCAATATAGTTCAGGCGTCCCAAGAATCCTCTGACTTCCTTATCAGTGCGAGGAGCGGGCATTTCTTGTATTGCTTTAACCTTGGAAGGATCAACCTCGATGCCTTTGTTACTGACAATGAAACCTAAGATTTTACCGGACCGGACTCCGAATATGCACTTGTTTTGATTCAATCTTAACTTGTACTCCTTCAATCTCACAAACAGCTTTTGCAAGTGATCAAGGTGTTCTTCTTCAGTTTGTGATTGGGCTATCATGTCATCTACGTAGACCTCTATCTCATGATGTATCATATCATGAAACAAAGCTACCATGGCGCATTGATAGGTTACCCTGGTATTCTTTAGTCTGAATGGCATCACTTTGTAGCAGAACGTGCCCCACTGTGTGACAAATGTAGTTTTCTCCATGTCCT